TTGATGAAAAAATATATTTAACTCAAAAAAAGAATAATAATTCATTGTTAACGTCTGTATAAATAATCATTATGTAAAGAAGTACATGGAAATATCTCGTGCCAGGGTTATATTTTTACTAACGTAATCTAAATTCAAAAAGAACAGTAATGGCATGGTATGAATGATACATTTTTCATATTTTTCTTAATGAGTTAATTAAAATTGCTTCTTGCATGTTGCCAAAATTAGGTTATGATTTACCAAAATTAGGTCCAAGGTAATGTATTCCTAGATAGAAATCTTCTTTCGAATATAAAAGTTAAATATCCTTTATATTTTGATTTATATTCGATTGTCGAGTTAGTTATTATTTGGTAACATATATCTTTAAATGATGTCCTACATTGTCACCGATGTTTACTTTTCAGGAAACCCCGCATCGAATGTGTCGCTGAAATAAACAATTGTAGTTGAACCATTAATCTTCGTCAATATTTCCGGTAACGGAGCAAAAAACGAGAAGTCGTTTTTTAAGTTTTTTTCCTTTAAATGGCAAAAAAAAATATATTCTATCATTATTACTTGCCAAAGTTATATTATAGCTCAACGGTCACGAGAAGATTCAAGTTTTCACAGTTGTTGACGCCAACATTCAAACTTTCGAACTTTTTCTCATACTATTTATATAAGGTGGTGGTAGAGTGAGTGATATTTCTATCGATATCCGATGGCTGCAAAGTTCGGAAAGTTTTGACACCCGATATATTGAACCATCAACAACGATCTGTTGCCTGAACAAGTTCAAGCTTATGAACAGAGTTGCTGAATTGAGAAGAATTATAAGGAACTTCCACTGGCTTCTAGGCTCCCCAGCTCAAAATATGTAGAGCCTTACTCAATGAAAGTATATAAATGAAAGGTCTATAAACAAATTTTGATATCTGATATTTGTTTTGACAATAAATGTCAACGTCGAAAATAGTACATGCATTAATAGATCTTTCTTTATCCTTCCATGTAAACTATCAATGGAAAGCACAATTCAAGGCAACATAATAATGTATTATATATACTTCAAATTAAATTATCCAGTACACTAATATATGTAAGAGTTAATATGTTGAACCCCGGCATTATTAATATGTATGAGGCGCCAATCCACAATATGGTGCATTTCATTGCAGTATAATATTCAGCTCAAAATGAAATTACATTTTTTGTATAGGCTAATACGAGCAATTGTCTAAAATCAATTATTCTAAATGATTAGGTCATTATTAAAATGATTAATTAATTATCTGGGCATCAAAATTTGGATTCGTTTTTCATCTCGAGTAAACATTAGTCGCAAGAAGAATTGATGGCTGTATGAATGTAAGCTGTGTAACACACTAAACACAGTTTACGTGTGTTAGTGAACTTGTGTGAAATTTCATCCTAACGAAGCAAGCGTCCTCATTGTTTAGTGTCTTAGAAGTTATCCATATTCAATTAAGTGTTGGACTAAATTTTGATCGAGAATCGAAAAGCACATCGCCTAAATTTTTTCGCATATAAATTAGAAAATCCCAATTATTTTGTTGACGAACTATTATTATACGGTTCAAGCACAAAAAGGACAGAGTAAACTTGGAATATCTATGAGTTGTCACAAAGAAAAATTGTTATGTTATTGTATTGAAAAATTGTTATGTTGTTAAATATTATCAAATAAAAAAATTACATATGTGTTTTTATCTCATAAGTCTCTTTGAAAAAAAGTTTTTATGCCTTCAAATAGCTACAAATAAATTTTTTACATCCTCAATATTTTCAATGTCCTCAAATTGTAACGTCGTGAAGTTTTAAATCAAGTTGTTGAGATTGGGATCCTGTTGTTGTTGTCCTAAAAGTTTAATCGTATTGCTCCTTCGGTCAATGGATCTCTGTCGTCCAATGAATTTCAAATATTTCATTTAATCGCATTCAATTTAATTGCATACAAACCTTTCACTGACATGACTGCGCTATAATATGGCAATCCTCGTCGACCGTCATATTTTTGCAAATTTTCCTTAGCGACATGATTGTTCTTGATCTGTATCTTGTGTTTTGTGTAATGTGTGTATATTGTGTGAATATCACATCCATCTTGTTCATGAACCGTCTAATAGTTCTCTAATGAAAAAATAGGGTTATTTTGAAAATTTTAAGTTGATAAAAAAAAACAAGTTAAAGTTTCTTTCTGATTTAAAAACTGAATTGAGGAAATTAGAGAAGACTGAAGAAGAACAAGCGTTAGTGGTATAAACAGTCAATTCGCCCCGTTAATTTCTTCAACTCTCGCTAGAGATTCTTCCCAACTTCGCGCTTAGCAAGACGAAAACGAAACCAAAGTTCCGAATTTTTAATAGACATCAGCAAGAAGTTTACGATCGGAGAGGAATTTATGTCTGCCAAAGGGTTTCTTGTTAACGACAAAGTTTGGAAAAAATCAGCGCTGCATCGGATGTCAAGGGTCATTAACGAAGTTGCTAATGTGCTGCATCCTGTCGGAGCGAAAGTTTGAATTAAAAATTGCCCAATTAACGAACCCAACTTGAAATAATTTCCTAAAACGAGACCATATTCGATTCTACACAATTTTTCTCGCAGAAAATACCTAGTCGCCTTAAAAATTAATTGGATTAGTAGCATACTCTCTGAGAATGCGAAGACAAATTACCGTCATCATTTCACTTTGTTGGTTTGCTAATTTCTAACTCAACGGACGTTATAACTCGTACATGCTTTGAAAACGATATTTATTTCTTTTATTTTTCCGAGGTCAATCAAATTTGAACTTAACGTACGGACATGAATTTTATTTCTTCATTAGAATAAATTGTTTAACATTTAATTCTAGCTCGGCTGACCTCCACTCCTTGCACTTTGTCTGAGTGCAAGCATTGCATGTTTGGCCGGGAGCTCACGTGTTTAAGGCAATAATTATAAGAGTAGGTTAGCCTGCTATTGCGCTCTCCTCATTTCTCATGCGGTTCACATTTTCAAACACTATATTTAACTTATAATGTTACCAGATTTTTGCGATCATTCTTTTCCACAATTTTGGACTTCCTTTCCCTGACTATTGGCAAAAAAAATAAGCCAAATTTAAAGGACAATAACGCGAATCGTGTCTAATAAATACAGAAAAATGAATCCAATCATGGTTACTGTCAAGAGTACAGAAAACTAATAGATTTCTTGACCATTTTCCTTTACATCGAGAGTACATGAATTTCAAGTTTATCTTTTAATTCGGAAATCGGATCGGAACAAATAAAATAAATTTATTCAAAATTAGAATTTGATATAAAGATTTTCAGTATTTTTAAAGTGACAGTATTTCGGAAATGCTTCATTATTTATTATTACAGTTATTATTATAGATGACATCTCCTAAAAATAAGTATATACATTAGACAATCATCGTATCGAAACAGAAGAGCAACTGCCAACGAAGAAGCAAAGTCGGCGAGGAGCAAACGTGGCATCAAGATTTCCTGCCGGTGAGTCTGTGGGAGTGCGCCATGAATATGATTATTGCGCCTCGATGGTGTGAGAGTCTGGGACTCGACGAGCCGCCATCCCAGGGTATCGCCAAGATCATTTTCTCGCCGGAATTACTTGTGATGTGATGGGGTTTCCTAACGTGCGATGTTTAATATCTATGAAAATTGCTATAAATAATGTCATATGTTATAAGCTTACATTGCCGCAATTTTAATTTTCAGTATTTAGTAAACAATTCAAGAAGCTGCCTACCATTGCTGCATTTTTTACTTTTATTTTTTTTATAATTCTGAAAGCAGCCCATGTGTCAAAAATTCTAGAATTTTCATAATGAATTAATTATAAGAAAATGTTTCTGTCTTGCATATTTTGAATAGAATGATTTCAATGCAAAACATTTAACATTCCATGGTGCAACATTAATCGCTACAAGAATATTTTCAATTTTTATTGCATTAACAACATGCTTTATCCCATGCTGTTATAGGAAGAGATAAACGTGAGTATTCCGTGTTCGTCCTCTAACAAATATAAATATTCATCGACATCCTATGTTTATTTCTCAATTTAGCAGTCAAATAGTTTATTCTAGTATGTATTATTATACATACATGATATATAAGAATATTACATGAATACCTCTGAGTGCTTGTAATTATGGTTTCCTGTTTGTGTATGTATAACTTTATTTACTATTTAACTCTTTATCATTAAGATCCTTATGTAACATTTATGCATTATGTCGATGTTAAATTTTATGAAGCTTACATTATATCTACCCCTATTGGCGCATAGATTTTAATGTGGATGACACAGATCATTGAAGCACAGAGACAAAATTCTCCTTGCTCGGTGGTTCGCCTCCTGTGGCGCAAGGGGGACTCGCCCGGGGCCGGCAGCTGTTGGCCCCTGGAGCGGCAAAGGATCCACCAGGGGGCGGGGGGCAATGTGGGGTCAAGCCGCAAGGGGAGATGCCCAACTGGGGGGGGGGCAAGTCCCTGACGGGGATCGACGGCCCGGAAACGGAAACGGAACGGAGACAAAATTCTTAGAGCGTTCATTAACAAAATAATTAAGAGTATGATCGTAGTAGTTTTGTAAATGGGTTCTTGAAAGTAGGAGATAGAAATGTATAGAAGCATTTTGGGCTCGTATCAACAGTACGTATCTTGTGGCGGGATCTCTCCTGGACCTGGAATTTGATTTTCATTTGAGGAATCATAAAACATCGCTAAGTAGGAATTTGATTTCAAAAATTTAAAATAGGTTTATTGTGGAAATTTTTACTTGAAATTCTATAAGAAATGGTTCTTTCTAATTCAAAAACCTAATCGAATGATCGTAATTTCAGCAATGTTTACGCCATAACCAGTGATTCTTCGATTCTCCAAAATCTGTTCTTCAGCTGCTGAATTTCACATCAACCAGCTAAAGCATACCTGGAGTATCAGGATTGAATGTGTTGATCGTTCATGGTGATTGACCATGGTGAGAAACGTTGTCATTATTACACCGGATGAAATAGATTATCTCCTCACATGGAGATTGTTACTAAGTGTGAACGCAGGAAAGTTAAATTTTTAAAAAGGGAAACCACCCTAATTGAGAGCGTCATTAATCTTAAATTATTCACGTTTATTTTTCCTCTTCTCATATGTCTTGTTTTTCGATTGGAAACAGAATTTTAAAGCCTTCTTGAGTATATAAAATAGCAATACGAAGATAACGTGCAATAGAATGATCAGATCGATGAATAAGAATTCTGTCCACGTGAGATCTTTGGCAGGCGACCGAAGATGTAGAGCTCCATGGTGCCGGATCACGTACTCCGTCCAGTACACCGCCCGCTCCACCGGATCAGAAATCTGGTCCCGGAAATTTTCCGACATTCGCTTTACGTTTTCTTGGTACCTGTTCATCGAGATAAATTTATTTTATTTAAATTCTTCTTCAGGCTTTATTTTATGTATATTGAATTTCACAGAAGCTATGAGCTTACTAAAAATTAGCTGAATATTTTTGTGACAAATAAATTACTGATATAATAATTTAATTCTCTAATGTCACTGAATTTAGTTCTACGATGAAATAACTTAATTTTTAGTCTCTATCTCAATCTAAAATTCAAACCATCTACAATCTTAGGCATCAATACAATTCTTAAGAAAAAGTCTCCTTGTTTCCAGAGCTGCACCTAAGCATTATTCCATAAAATGTGATCGATATTCACGACTAGAAAGTTTTAACGTTAGTGAAGACTCTTACTTTGGATTGCTTATGAGTTCCACAATTGCATTTCTGAAAGATTCTTCAGTCAACGTCTTCCACTGCAAGTGAATGGCAATGCCAGCGTTCTGCCAGGCCATGGCGTTGCGAGGCTGATCTCCGAACACAGGCAGACCGAGAATGGGAGTTTGGTGGTAAATAGCCTCTTGAGAACCGAGCAGACCGCAGTGCGAAATAAACACCTTAACGTTCGGGTGAGCTGGAAAAATGCAAAAGGAGTAAATGAGCGAATTAGGAAAAAAGAACTTCAAATAAAATCTAACGAAGAATGAGTTAAATTGGTAAATAATATGAGTAACTTTTGGGTAATTTATAGGCATAAAAAATAGATTATGCGTCGTAAATTTAACTTATGACTTGAGTCTCAAGTTACCGAGAATATCTTGTTGAGGCATCCATTTCTTGATGAAGACGTGTGGCCCAATATCGCTGAGTTCCTCTTCATATTTCCATATGACCTTGTAAGGAAGTTTGGCGAACACGGAGATGATGACGTTCATTGCATCGGGCGGGATGGTACTGCTGCGAGCGATGGACCCTAGACTCATGTACACCACAGGGGTCGTCCCTGAGAGGAAGCTGTCAAGATCCTATAATAGAGAGGAACTTGGAAAGCGATCGAAAAAAATACGTGATTATAGAGGATAAAATGCCTCTGTGATCTTTAAACGGAATGAGTTTGAAAAATTTTTGCTTCGTATACGCTTTAACGCAATGCATACAGAGTATGACTCTCCACACACTAGTTTTAAACTAATCTGTATCTTGTACAGATTATATGGAAAAATATAACTCAGTACTCACTGCAGTGAGTGAAAGAGAGCACATTTTCTCGTCGACGAAAACGTGAAGTCACGGACGGACAGACAGACGGACATGGCGAGCACAATAGTGCATTTTTTCAATAAGTGAGAAAATGCGCTAAAAATGAGAGGAGTGATTGCTACGTAAAATATAAAAAAGATCGTCAGGTAGTAATGTAGACAAGCTATCATAGTCTTTGGGTAAAATAATGATATAGCAAAAATAATTCCGTAAGATGGGATCTTTTTCTCCGCTTTTGCCCATTTGGTCCTATTATATCGAAGCTAACTGAAAAATTGGTATACGCATAATCGTTTATGAATAATTTTTGGACAAATTTTTTCACGGGATGTTTCAAGTTTTTACGAACCTGTGGCAAGGGTTTCGCTGGCCTGAGGTGCATGCCGCCTACTTCGACTTGGTTAGGCAACAGGGGCACCGGCAGTCCAAAGGAAAAATGCGTGTTCAGTAATGTTAGAATAGAATAGAAGCTCTCCAAAAATACGTCCCAACGAGGGTAAATAAAAAGTTTCTGAAGCGGTCGAGGGTGGAATACGGACGTGGGAACTCAGACAAGAAGTTGGAGACGTAGGCTGGGTTCAGAACATTGCCCAGCATGGCGCTGTGGTCAGGCTCCAGTCCAGCCGTGTTGATGGTAATGTAAGTGCGGTTGTGAACAAACGGGTACATTGACTGTGTGTACAAGATAAAAATGATTGAAATTAAATTTTTACAAAAACTTTCGTAATTGGCGGTTTTTAGAAATCCGTCCGAAGAGATCAAGATATCATTCCATATTCCATTCACTATCAATGGGTAGTTTAACGTCGTTATCCGAAGCTAGTACTTTGTTTTTCTATTCAAGATAGAGACAAATTTAACACATAACAGAGAGAAATTTGAAACATAAATGCCTACAGTGAAAAAAATCAATAGGTAGGCTATATGTCCATGAGATTGTATTAATTTGATTTATCAGTTATTTAAAGTCAAATTCTTCATGATAACGACAAAATGAAACGACTAAAGATACAATTTCACCAACAAGCTGATTCACCTCGCTAAAGAGATGATTGATGATGATGAGATCAAACTTGTGTCTGTTCTTGTAGAGCTCCCACACCGTTGGCACTCCGTATATCTCATTCGCAAGGGCCGAAAATATTATTTCGAAATCCTTGAACATTTCGCTTTCATTTTCAGTGGCTTCAAACATGTTGACATCCGAATGATCGAAATGTTTTAAGCCGTGATCGACGTAGGTGATGTCAGGATTGTTATCGGCAGGAGGAAGCGCACTGAGCATAGTCACCTGAAACACCATAAAAAAACGTTGATACACCAACTTTTCTATTCCTAATAATGTATATAGGTGTATATGTAACAGTTCAACAACTTTAACTTGCTAACATTCCTTCGTGAGTCCATTAACCCAGATACACTGAGTTACATCGGAATAGATTACTACAAATGCATATTATCAGTAACGTTATATTACCATGTGTTTCTTCTGAGTTAATGTTACATTACCTTGTGTCCCCTCTGATTTAATACATCACATTGTGTCCCCTCTGAGTTATTATATTACCTTGTGTCCCCTCTGAGTTAATACATTACCTTGTGTCCCCTCTGAGTTAAAACATTACCATGTGTCCCCTCTGAGTTAATACATTACCTTGTGTCCCCTCTGAGTTAAAACATTACCTTGTGTCCCCTCTGAGTTAAAACATTACCTTGTGTCCCCTCTGAGTTAATACATTACCTTGTGTCCCCTCTGAGTTAAAACATTACCTTGTGTCCCCTCTGAGTTAATACATTACCTTGTGTCCCCTCTGAGTTAAAACTTTACCCTGTGTCCCCTCTGAGTTAATACATTACCTTGTGTCCCCTATGAGTTAAAACATTACCTTGTGTCCCCTCTGAGTTAAAACTTTACCTTGTGTCCCCTCTGAGTTAATACATCACCTTGTGTCCCCTCTGAGTGAGGGCAGTAGCGAGAGGCATGAAGACATTGCGATGGCTCTTGGACGCGCAGGGCAGCAGCATGAGGATGTCGTAGGAGCGCTCAGGAGCTTCCAGAGCTCCATGCACGCTCATGCTTACAGCCAGCAAGCATGTGATCAATACTTCACGAAACATCACTCAAGGATATTATGGAATTTGGGGATATATAAACAATTTCCTCGTGTTATGGTTTCTGAAAATACAACAGAAAGCTATATAATGATTCACTAAACAATGACTTGACAAACAATGTGTATTATACTGCAGTTAATATCCATATTAAGTTTCTTGCTGAATTTTGGAGGGGAAAATAATGTAGGAGTTTAAATTTCGGTTAATTTGAAAAAATAACCACCAACATTAAATTGCTACAGTTTTGATCTTCAACATGTGCACAATAAATTGACGACCAACTACCACAAGTGGAACGTGAAGTCAAAGTAAGGAATATCGCAAATTTCGGAACACATAGTGTCAGATATTTCTCGGAATAATCAGTCCAATACTTATCATAAAATTTCAGACAAATCACATAGCCATTAATTCTTTAAATGATGTCAGTAATGTAATGCTAAAGCCAGCCTTCTCCACGACCACCTCACTGCGTGGCGGCAGCATGTCGGCGACTCCGACATCATTCTCTTATTGTCTTGTGATTATCATGCTTCTCTTTATCAGTAAGATGATTACGTCCACTTAGTCAAGATTATTGCTGGGCGCTTAAATAATTGGCTGAAATTTCGAGGTCATATTTTCTCTCAGAAGTTCTGTTGTGTCCGATTAAAACAGGACATTAAATTTGAAATTAATTTTTCGCAGTTCCAAAACATGTATCCACGTATACTATTTTGTGTGCCTATTTAAAAAATTCAGTATATTTAGCAGTTGAAAGATTGTTTTCTTTGCAATCATATTCGATGCTTTTATCAAAAATATATTAATCATTCATTCGAGTGATAAAAATTGTTCAAATTGTTCAAATCGATTATAATTATGAATTATTTATAAGGCTCGTTAATGGAGCTTTTCCTTATCTCCACGTTATCAGTCAACGAACACCACGCACTGTACAAACATGCACTACTTTCAGTGACAACTCCTGATAGGAGTGATGGTCAGGCCGGTGGTAACTTTAGTCATTTATTCTTTATGATGGTCTTATCGTATTTATTTAGAATATATAATCAGTCTGCAGTATAATTACGTGCGTATACTGTATTCAGATTCAGTAAGATATACAATCTTCAAAAGTCCACACAAAACGAACAAATATACAGTGTCTCTCGTGAAATTTGTAAAATGTGTCATCCATGCCACTTTTTGTTCATAGTCAATACACTAGTTGTGACATTACTGTATAATACTTGCAAAATTAGTCAGCGATAAATTAAATAAATATTTATAAAATGTGAATTTTTTTGTCGCCGCATTTACCTAAAATTTCGTAAATCTCTTCTCTTCTTATTCATATATTTTTTAATTAGTGTAGATGCTTGGAATGCTAGGAAATTTCCATGTAACTGAATTTCGATGTCTATTAAGACACATTCGTTGACACGTTAATAAAGAAATGACATTTAGTTAATGAAATCCATTGAATTCCTTCCTCATGGCTATACAAACCGAAAAAATTTCTAAACTTTCTTATTTGAATTTCGATGTTAAAAAGTAATGAGCAAGATAGAATAGGGATAAGTTACTTACTGAACAATCAATAAGACAGGACAAGATGATAATTAAAGAATTTATCACAATCTTTGCTCACGGTAATTTCGTTTAAATAATCTAAAAAAATAAAAGTATGAAGGACTTACATAAAGTTCATAGCGAACTTTTCCAGTATAACATTGTATTTTGGTGTAGCTTCTTTCAATATTATGTAACCGAGCTGTGTCAAGTGGCACGTCTTTCTCAGCGGATTACATAATCATGAAATCTTAATAAAGAACAGCAAATTATTCATCGTCCACTGCTACGGACGGATGACTAGAGAACTCATAATAGAAAATGCATAAATGCTTACTCCCTGATCAATAATTAAATTGTTTATATATCTGGTATATATTTTGGGTGTACAAATTTTTTATATTTATGCAGACAATTTTTACAACAGACAAGAATCCCTTGGATAAAATTCGTGTGACTGTCCTGGTAAAAATAACCAATTTTGTACATAAATTACAGTAAACTTCTACCAAGCCAAAAAGTTTGCCAGTTGCAGATAATGCACATATACATATATTGCTGTGAGTCTCCCACGTATCATATCTCCTTGTTTAGTTATCTCATTGTTATTTTAACAATGTGTTTCATGGACTCTATGCTATCAATGAGACCGAATCAACGTCAAGTCAGTCATTTGACACGATGTACAATAAAAATATGTACAGTACATGTTGTAAATCTGTTGAATGCACTTGTTGTAAACTTGTACAAATGTACAAGTTTTTAACAGATGATTGTTTGTACTACGTCTATGGAAACGTTAACACTATATCTCTACACACTACAGCCAATACTACTCGTATTACTTACTTCTTACTTTCAACAGTGGTTGACGTTAATGCAACGAATTTTTCATCCGAGACAAATTAGTATTGGCAAACCCAAAAAATCAAAATATGTACCTAGTGATCGTCAAGAACACTAAGCAGCAATAGCAAACTTCATATTTGCTTTTAAAAATATAGGAAGTGTTGTTGATGTGATCGCGTCGATAGACATGCTTAACTTCCTCCTTTTGCTCGATGATGTTGCTGGCCGATGGGAGTACGGTCGGTGTTGAACTGAAAGATTGATTGGCTGTAGCTAGGGCAAAAAGTTAGATTTTTCCCATGTGATAGATGGTACTTAGGGCAATTTCTAAAAATTTATGAAGGAATACTAGAAGCAGGAAATATACGAGTGGTAAAATAAACGTATGCAGTTTTACTTTATATTCATATGCAGTAATTTATTCACTTAAATATACATTCATTTATATATTCATTATAGTAAAAGTGCAGAAAAATGCAAGGTCACACAAAATAAAATTTAAAAAAATGCCACCAATAGATAATCGGATACATTAAAATGAAGATAATATATTTAGATCCTTTGCAAAAAATATGTACATTACCATTCAATTTATTGGAAAGAACAAAAAAAAATATAAATCAGTACTCACTAGCTGCAGCGAGTGACAGAGAGCGCATTTTCTCGTCGACGAAAACACGAAGTCACGGACGGACAGACAGACAAACGGACAGACGGACAGACGGGTGGACGGACGGACATGGCGAGCACAATAGTGCATTTTTCCGTAAATGAGAAAATGCGCTAAAAACTCCGCATCCTATATGACTCAAATTGAATGAAATTTTTAATAAAATTAAATATATATATATATATATAACATTTTTTTTATATAACATTTTGTTTAATTTTAAATGAAACGAGTTAATTTAGGACGAACTGGTGGCACGATAGATGTTCAAAATATTTTCAAAGTAATCCTTGAAATTTCCTGTTTGAAACATTTAATCAACATCAATGATCTTTAGTACAGCTCTCTGATTCACTTACACATTTCTACAGCTTTAAGTGTTACTCGTATCTTTGTACCTGAAACTCATCCATTTGAATTCCGAAATTTCAAATCATATTGAAGGACGAAATCAAATGCAAACCTATTTTCAACGAACTTATGAAATGAGAAATGAGCTAACAGAACAAGCGAACCGCAATCACTTAATCTAATGAAAAATTTAAAACTATGGATAATAAATTTCGCAAAAGCATCTTGCTGCGGAAACCATTCATTACCTGAAACGTTCTTCGGAAGTTGTTGAAAGGACTTTTCAAATTTCCTGAGAACTTCGTACGGAAGCTCGACGGAGGCAGATGTGATCATTCCTAAGATTTTCTCGGACCTGTGACTGCTGAAGACCACCGAGTCCAAACTCACGTAAACAGACGGAAAATTTCGTTATAAAATCTCGGTACGTCCATTGAACGACTGCGTGTTATATTTTTAATAATAGGAAATTTTAAATGATGACAAATTTGGACAATGAATGATGTCTTTGCGTTGGGCAATAATCATGCGTGGAATGATATCATCAACTAATCCTCTCATTAGTTAAACTTTCTTCCGTTATCTTATTGATAACCGACGTTCAATAATTAAATAAGATTTCTAGCGTCGATTAACCTATATACATTTCAAATACTGAGTCAACTTCCAAAATTTTATTGAATATATTTTTCATATATGTTCATGTTGCCAGGTAGGACGGATGCGGCTGCTGGGATTTCAATTTAGTTTGGAAACAAAGCACGGTACACTAAACAACTGCCGGAAATTCCATGAGCCTCGTATGTTTCTATACTTAAATTTCATGAATTATTCATAATTTAGGGAGCTTTCAGGTTGTTTATAGATAAATATTAGTATTGCCTCAGATTGTCATTTTTATTGCCCTTTTTTATACAGCAACTCTTTAGGTAAATGTGTAGCGACAAAAATTTTACATTTTATAACATATGTCATTGCGAATTTCGCATTTTCACCTTCATTTAATTCAATCGCTGACTAATTATGTAAGTATTATAATCACGCAACAAATGCATTGTCTATGCACTGAATTTGGTATAGAAGACAGGATTTGCAAATTTCATGAAAGACATCGTTTATTTATTCATTTTGTGTAGACTTTTGAAGATTGCACAACCTACTGAATACAGTAAACGCACGTACTTATACTGCACACTGATTATATATTCTATATAAATACGATAAGGCCATCACAAAGAATAAATGACTGTTACCACCGGCCTGAGCATCGCTCCTATCATGAGTTGTCTGAAAGTAGAACATGTTTGTACAGTGCATGGAGATTGTTGACTGATAACGTGGTGATAAGGAAAAGCTCAATTAACGAGCCTTATAAATAATTCAGAATTATAATCGATTTGAACAATTTTCATCACTCGAATGAATGATTAATATATTTTTGATAAAAGCATCGAATATGATTGCAAAGAAAACAATCTTTCAACTGCTAAATATACTGAATTTTTTAAATAGGCACACAAAATAGTATACGTGGATACATGTTTTGGAACTGCGAAAAATTAATTTCAAATTTAATGTCCTGTTTTAATCGGACACAACAGAACTT